CATGTGTAGTTTTAAAGAATGTGGGTCAAAAATAAGAATGTAATATATAATATACATGTCCTGATTATTATCGGCAACCAAAAGCATTTTGATCATTTATAACAGTTATTTCTAACCGAAGTCGGCTAAACTAACCTACTATTACTATCGTAAACCTAGTATTGAGTTAATAAAACTATCATGTAACATGCTTTTTGAATTGGACGTAAAGCCCCTACAATCTCATGGAAAAAGCAACAAATCCATTTATGCTAAACATGGGTGACCTTGGTTTCGCTATGAAAACGAACTATTTTCGTCGAATTCTTTTATCGTCATTTGTAGTATATTCGACACCATTAAAGTGCGGTTCAAAACATTTCTCGCTACATGGCCTCGCAAATAGCAGAAAAATAAAGTCGCGTTACGCGGATACCCTGCATACTGGTGATCTTTATCGGTCTACTGAGATGAGTTCTTCAAAGCCTTCTCTGTACATGCTGGTTATATAATTGTTAGCCAGTGAATTGCTACGAGCTTCTATTCTGTTTTTATCATATGTAGACATTTAATTATTAACAAAAATATGAAACTCTTCGTTTAGAATTCATTACTCATAAATCAAGTCCTGGCACTCGACCAAAGACTGGTCCTAAGCGCCAAGAAGCCGCTTTTCATGAACTAGATCGATAGAGACACTTGGCGCAAGTGTTTACAAATATGCGATTTGCAGATTTTTCATACGCCAAAATCATACGAATCATCCTCACTATGATTATATCATGCTTTTCATTTCTAAATTCAATTAACTTTGCCAAAACTTTAAATATCGTTAAATTGCTAAAAATAGAAGATTCCGTGGCTAAAATAGAAATATCTGCACTTTTAGATTTCAGTGATACGCCATTACACGTTCCAACGGTTTTAATTCAAGAAAGTAATTTGTATAACGAAATTTCGATAAGATCAATTAAGAAATTGTAAAGACAGCAAGAAATATTCTCATTTTGTGACTAAATAACGTTAGACTTACTTGACATAGGATATCTGTATCTGACAAAGATTTTACCTGTAAATAGACCTGTAAACCTGTGGAATAGACGACTCTAACTTCTGAGACACCCAGCTACGCGGATTACTCGTCAGCAAGACCGTCGGAAGATTTCTCACGTTGTACGCGAGGAGCGGTTATCCCTACTCTCACTGCCACTCTTAATAAAATCACAAGCTCGCGTATTCGCTAAAGACATATATGATAGTGGCAGTGGCAGTGGGAACACGATTAAGGGGGTCATCTAGCAATGGCAACTCTGCCGCGAGATACCCTAGTAGACAAAATAACTCGGATACCCACTCGTAGAGATACATTCGTATCTCACGAGATAAGATACATAGCTGAGAACATCGATGCCAGGGCTGAACTTGCTGAAAGTTCCAAAGCAGAAGCCAATCGGACGCCATTACATCAAGGCGATACCACCTGTATTGTGCATGTTGATTCGTTTAAAAATGTGATTTGTATATCTTCAGTCCTCGCATATGCAAACGTATGTACGTACCAAATATGGAACCTACAATTAACTCAATTAATTAATACAATTAAACACAATGAGCGTTGAGCGTGTGTAACATGGAACATGTCAATGATGCTGTTACTGCCAATCGTGTTGCAGAATTATATTTATTTTCTAGCTACCAGGTCTACAGACTGTACTAGACAGCGTTTTTTTTTCTCGTCGCATTTGTTTACATTTTTTACCGCGACTTCGAGATTCTTAAATCTTTGCATGGTATACAATATATTAGGTTGTCCGGAAGGTGTCTTTGTTTTACAGACACGTCTTTTACAACGATGCATAAAAATACAAACATGAAACCTAATCTGTCGAACATAGTGATCTGAATGTTATGATCTTTATTTTGATAGAACAAAATGGATCATACGTAATTCGATAAAATAATATAAAAAGGAAAATGTTGTGCTTTCCATTATTTCCTTATAAAACGAAAGGAACTTTTCGGCCGACCTAATATTAACATACTAATATCCTTTAATCTTGAAAAAAGGCATGTTTCTCTTCTTGGGAGATTTTTGAAATCAGCTGTTCCATTTAGATTTAGTCACCTTTTCTATTTAGATGCGATTTACTAATCGTTTCCCACGTTGATTCATACATGATTAGATTCCTTCTAGGAAATTACGAGAAATCTTTCAAACGGTAATTGCTTCCAGTTACTTAGCTTTGTCACACTTCTAACACGTCCACAGCACTTACGTAAAGTTATATCGAACGATACAGCTAGAACGTACAATTTCAGAGATGCAAAATTCTCAGAAGACCTTTTCTACAACTTCAGACATAAATTTTTTACAAGATCCTTCGTAAATAACGTTATAAAGGAATATGATCGAAAGGTTCGATTGTCCAAAATCGAAAAGTAGATGAATTGCTACAGCGATAAATTACTACGCAGTAGATATATCGATATCAGTGATGACAGAATAAATTATCACTTCAAGTACGTGCTTCAAACACTTTAATTGCAGAATACCACGAAAAGAATTGCTTTCTACGAAACTATTCAACCAATAGATAGTACACTTGGATATATGCACACCTCGACTACGCGAATGTCAATCGTCATAGATACTCGCGGAAAACTCCCTGTTTCTTACAGTACGTGGCGATAAGGCACAGATACCGACAGATTACGTGTGTTAACGGACGAAAAATAATATATGCCAATGTGTACATAAGGTAGCGATAGCGTATCGCGTTTGACTTTAATTTATCCACGTATTTTAGACTCGTCTTTCACGACAGAATAGTAGTCGATAATATGTTATTTAAAAGTAGAAAATAAAGAAGGTTGAACTCTTTTGAAACTGCGATTTATACATAAAATTTGATGATAAATATTAGCTAAATAACGTAAAAATTAATATAACAGGGATAGAAGTAAATAGTTGAAGGACAACGATAAATAATTATGATATTATTAAAAAAATTGTATCACTTACAAAGGTTATCTGTAAGCCATGTTTCTTACTTAGAGATATTAATCCTTACATCATAACTTTGAAAAATTCGTTTTATAATAGTTACGATGTCTGGTCATATATTTATACAAAATAAACCTAGCAACTCGTAAATAGAAAAGACCAATGTTTACCTTCATCCTCGAGATCTATGAGAAAGTTGGGTAGTCTCGGTAAGCAATGAAAAAAGTCGTTTTCCGTCGAGGTGACGCCTCTACTTGACATGATTCGATTTATATATGTATAACCGCCAGACGCTTCACGTAGCACTCACGATGCTAATTCGGGGTAATTTAAGTTCTAAAAATTGATACTGCGGTATATTATATACAGTATATGTTTATATTCTAGACAGACACCTTCGCGTGAAAGATGTTCTAACTTCGAAACGAGTTCACCAATTTACCAATATGCTTCGGCTGCTGTACCGAGTTCTTCGTCTTGGTTATTACGCTGTTCGTTTAACAACTGAATTTTATAACGTCAAGTTAACTACGGTTAGACTATTCCATGTTATGACACGACCGTGCTAACCGTTTAATACTCGAACAAATATTGCTCGTTATCCATTAGCTGCACACGAAATCCACAAAGCCACTCCAATCTATTACAGTTTTTTAAACGTTGAAGCAACCAAATGCATACACGTTTGTTTGACAGCCCAATGACCTTAAACGATAGACCGAACACGAGTCGTAGGAGAATTACATATGTAGTTGATGTGGCTTGTGATACGAATACACTAATAAGTAATACACTGCTTATTGGCAGAGAACTTTGCATTCATATATCGACCATTCACAACATGGAAAAACACTAGAAAATGTGACCGTCGCTTTTTCGTCGTTAAACAGGATAATTAAACGACTGCGAGTTATCTTCTCGTTTCTATTCACGTAGTAAAACTCTCGAACAGTCCAGCTAACGCAACAGTAAAGAGACAGAGGATGTTCGCACGATGGCAAAAATACTATTCAGCTTCGCGAAGGCGAGAAAGAGGACGACGTAGAACGCAAACGGGATGTAGGCTCTATGCCAAATTTCAAATACATTACCTGATGGTACAGTAGAACTTCATTTATCTGAACGAACGGTATAAACACGTGGGACCCACTGGAGGAGTGAACAGGGAACAGTAAAGCAACGAAAAAGAATTCATATAAACGCGTATCCTATCTGACCTTGTTTCTACTGCGCTAATAACGCTAAGAACATTTTTTGTTTCTTCAGAGATACTCTTAAATGTCCAACAAGAATTTTTCGTTTCCAAAAAAGTTCAAAAATGGTCAGGCGAGACAATGTTCGAACATATTTTACGAAGAGAGTAAGTTAACGGACGCACGTTGTTCGTGATGCATGCAGGATGCGAATGATCGATGCGAACGACGCGGCTGAAAAGTAAGTACGACAAGGAACGATAATAGGATAATTTGTCAATTCGAGCTATTATTAAGCTGCGAGAACATTTATTACGGAGACGCTCTGCACGCTATCAAAGCCAGTTAAAACAAAGCCGGTTGTTAGCGTCACACAACGGTTTATCGATCCTTAAAAACCTAAATGTTGGAAAGATAACAATTTTCACACCTATACACTTAAGCTTACAGCGCTAGCATAAGAGACAACATTATTGTCGAAAATGTTTATCCATATCTTGGATGAGTTAAAATTACAGCATCATATTTAATAAAATGTACTTTACGCCTTGATGGTGACCATACGGCAAACGCGTTAAAAAAATAACGCTCTTGGTATAACTAAAATGTTTTACTGTAAACAAAGTACAAATAATAATAGCGTAAGTACTTCAAATCTTCTGGTCAACAAAGTGGAATATGTATAGCTTATACTACAGTGGTGTGCAAAAGTTCCAGGTCATCACACGTATTAATTAATATTCGTTTGGTATATGTTTCTTTTCTAAAAGAATTCACACATATAGGAGCTCAATGACATGATAAAATATTACAATCAAACTTACGATCACGATGGTGGTCGACATTACGTGGCGTTGTCGAACTGTCGGCGTCACCTTCGCCGTCTAATTCGTAATAAATCCTATTGGTTCCACTATTCACGTCCTTCACGCCATTCACATCTACCAGATCTTCCATGCTTCTATAAACATGTACGTTTTGATTTTTCTCTGCGCACAGTGCAACATCAATTTATGTAGGTGAATATGCGATACCGTAACAAATTGCTGCAGATAAGGTACGAACTCGATAGTGTCATAAGAAACTATATGTTACTGACATCTATTGGCATATATACTTATTTTCCAATGAAACGTTTTTCGATCGAAATTCGACGTTTCATTCTCATAATATCAAATTTTTGTAGTCGCGTGAACGATATAAAATTTGATACACCTGATCCCGATTAATTGATATGTAAATGCTTTAATAAATATTATTAAGGCTAACGGTTAGGGTACTCGTGAAAATTATCTGGCTACATAAGATAGTCAAGAGTTTCGATACCCTCCGAGGTCAGGTCACTATACTGTGTTATACAAAGCATACGTTGTTGGTAATCCTTTAAACGATACAAAATTTAGCGTACTTGTTCGGATAGTTTTCAATGGTAATGTATATTATACTATAATGTGTATTATACTATATTTTGTTGAATGGTATATAATATTATATTTAACAGTATTCATAAAAAACGTACTTCATACTATTTACCTACGTAAAATCATTAAAACCATTATTATTAATTTATGGCGTTTATATCTTAGTTCCTCGTTGTTTATATCATAACGTTAATTAACGAAAATTCACGCAAAATCAATAGATAAGGTTATAATTAATGATGTTTTTTCTATGTGAAATTGATTTTTCATCCGGCACATACCTGGTCAAATTAATCGACCGTCCAAGTGATAAATCAAGCTTGTTAAAAGTTCGGGATCCGTTAAATTTCGCTATGATGAACGCAAATCTAAATCATGTTTATAAATCTTCATAGTTGTTTATCTTGCTGCTCATTTTTTACTCCACACATCGGTTTACGTAATAAATATAAGCAGAATTAAAAAAAATAAGATAACGAAACAGGGAAAGACAAAATGTAGAAAGCAATACACTACAAACGAAAAAGGTCGTTTAGTTATTATAGGCGAGTAACACTTTTCGAAATAAATTCATCGATCTATCGGTCTATTTGGTATGGTTACCTATGATTATGGTATATGTATATTAACTTTTCAAGATTATCGAACGTCATCTATCATCGTTTAAGAAGATATTCCTCTATGAACGATGCAAAATTTAACGATTTTCATGAATTAAAAAAAAAAATTTTTAATAAACGACGTAAAAATATAAATTTGTTACCGTTGACATAGCATGTAATATATGGAATAACCTATAAAAATTTCAGAGCAATCGACCACTTAATTTCTGAAATTTTATCTACGCTAGGTGAAAAAATTACGTTTCTAAAAAAACGCGTGTACATTTTACACTGGAAAAGTACTAAGCTTGCGAAAACATTACTTACGATATCAATCGCCGATCCCAGCTCCATACAAGACATCTCCAGCTTTCTCATACATATTTATCATCTAATTCTAGTCATAGAGCAATATCGCCTTAAACTTCTCCTCCTTCGTAGAAAATCCAGAACATTTTGTTTATTTTATGCATTTGCAAGGAGGCAGCACAATATACAGTAATGAAATGATACTCATACCTCCTAAAATTACTCTAGCATGTAATTTGCTGGCAGACATCCCAGACAATTATCAAAGATTGTAATATTTTGTAAATATACATACATCAGATATCTTATAAATATATACCATATAATATATGTAAATATTGTAAATATACATATAAATAAAAATAATTTATAAGTGCCGAACTCGAAATTGATGGCATCCAATTATAAAAAAACAAATCATTTAGTGTTTTTCGACGGCTTTTATGGACAGGAACATCATTATGCTGGAACCATATTCGTCTGATAGCGAATTAGATGTCTTTCAGAAGATTTTAAACTTACAAAATAAGAAAATCATCATATTAACGATCGAAGCGACGAATTAAAAGTATCAATAGTAAATATACTATTAATAAAATTGACAGTATTAATGGTAAATAGTGTAGCAAAGTAAAATAGTGTAAATAACAAAAATATTAATTGATAACAAATAACCTTTAAGTATATTGAAAGGCTAGTACATCAGAGGTCAATGAATTTATCTCGGAGTCTCTTATACACTTATAATTAACTGGACAAAAACATATACATATATATATGTGTAGCGGCATATAAAAGAAACGTTTAGACATCACCTAGCTAAGCAAAACTTGTAAATATCTCTATAAAACATCTTTTTTATGTTTCTACAAGTTTCATTTTAAACATTTTTCCGAATAATGAATAATTCGGTAAATAACTGCGTGGGAAAATTTAAGTAGGATACCCCATTTGTATCGTATCACATAAGACAAAATAACAATGAATTGGTTCGTCATTATTCAATCTGTTATCAAAGCGTTGACTCTCTTACACTTTCGCTATTCTTAGAGCTTACGGGTGAAACGTCAGCATGCGTTTTTTCTCTCCTTGAATTAGGAAAAACACTTCACTTGAACGACTTACAATAAAGAATTACATGTACGCGTTACACGTTGATCAAACCAACCACAAAGCACAATTTTCGGAACATCTGACGTTTGAACGAATGTATGTGTTCATGGAAACACTCAATTTGCCTTTTAGAGTAGCTTCCAAAATATAGTCACAACAAGGACATGAACGTAGTTTAATGATATATATGAGAAAAAGGTTCACATACATGTATTACTTTGTTACAGGATTTATCAAAGATGCAAAAGAAAAAACAATGTCGAACGATAGTTCTCGAATACACTTTTTGATAAAAAGAAAAACGCCACAGGTAAAACTTCCGGCACGCTGGAGCGTGCTGTTAGCTACCGACTGTCACTGCACGTTTCAGCCACGATGTGTCGCGTAGGATCGTACCTACCGTTTCGAGGACCTCCCTGTAAACTCGACAAGCGTATTATCAGGATTCATATAAACAATAAATATAATAATAAACACAATAAGACCTGCTTCATGATAGTAAATGTAGTTACACTTTATCTTCATTAAAGCGTATATTAATCTTTTTCAGAAACTGTATCTACAATTTCACATTTCCATTGCCCATAATAAAATAACCTCATTTGTAAGTGTAACCATTACTTGTTTATTAACACATAACCTACAAAATACGCAGAAATAGCAAGTAATTTTTACGATAAAATACACTTAATAAATTGACTACTGTTTTAAAACATTCAAACCCACTAATGAATAAAAAAATATCCCAGTTTACTATTGATTGATTTCAAAGTAAATATATCGTTTTAATAACTATCAGATCGTTGATTGTGGAATATTAAACATATGTTTAGTGTTCAATAGTCCAATACTCGAAAAATACAAAATTTTTCACCTGTAACCTTAAAAGTAGCAGAAACAAAGGAAACATACGGCAATGGGCACGATTGGTCGAGTGGCGCGACAGTGGCACACGACTGGCGCAGACTCGCGACTGTCGATCTGCGAAAATCCATATTTCGCGACGCACTATCACTGGTGCATCCTTTAAATATATTAAAAGATTACATCGCATAAAATTTGGGAAAAATATCTAATCGTTAAATTGTGGATTCTTATGCAAATTCATATTTTTGAGAATAGAATTAAAAAAGCAGAGCCTCGGTGGAAAATCGTTTTACCTACCAAGTATTATAGAAAGCACTATACCTTGGATATTATATGTATTTTATCATATGTGCGTTTTGTGCAAGTTTGCACTTACAAATTTCCTATGAATGCATAAAAATTCGCAAATTCTAGTAATTATAAAGGAACATTGACATTTCTAAACTCTATTTCTATCAAATGGCGAATGCTATAATTTGAAAGATTAATTATTTTGTAGATACCTATTTATATATCGAAA